CCCCGCCCCGAGTTTAGATACCTGGACCTTCTTTCCTAGCAAAGTCAGGTCCTGGCCAGTGTAAATAAAATTTTGTCCTTCTAGACTTGCATTTTCTCATCTGGTCAAGATAACAACAGCAACAACCCCTTTCCTTGACGACAAATAAGCAAATGGCCACCTTCCCTTCAGAGCTCTGGCCTGGTGTAAGAAGGTCCGTGGGTTCCCACTGGGCTGGGAAGGACACTGGGGACCCTGAGAAGAATGTCTTCTTGCAGTCTGCCATGGTCACTTCACTTTCCTCCTTGGTGGGACAAATACCTGACAGCCACAATTTAAAGTAGGAGAGTTGTGTTTTGGCTTATGGTTACCGTTGTGGTTGGCTGGCTCCAAGGCAGAGCATGTCGTGGCAGATCCCGGTGGTAACACTGTGGTCAGGAAGCAGAGTGAAGGGAGGAACTGGGCCTGGAGATCCGTGCTTCCAGGTCACACCCCAGTGACCCACCAGTTCTGACCACACTCTGCCTCCCAACAGGAAGTCAGCTATAGTGTCACCAGGGCCAATCCTCTTCCAAAAACTTCACCTATGAGCACATGCATGGGTCCCTGGGGGGATGTCGCCAATCAAGGCATAACACAGTCCAGAATCTCACACATCCTCTATTCTGTGGTTCACTGCAAGGTTTTGGTGGAAACCACTTCTAGGAATTCCTACTTAACAAATATTTATTGAAAACTTCTTTTAGGTGCTTGAAAAATATCTGGACAAAACAAAGGTCTCTACGCTTGTGGAGATTACTTACTACCAGGTGGGGACAGTTAAAAATAAGCACAAGAGATGATTCAGTGTGGTGAAGGTAACAAAGTCAATACAAGGGAAGAGAAGCCTGGGAAGAGGCTGGCAAGAGGGCAGGTATGGGATGAAGAATCCCATAGGGTGTTGCACTCTGCCTCCCTGAGAAGGGGGAGGGCTGAGCAAACACGGTTGTCTGGAGGAAAACAATTTCATGAAACCCACTGTATTCTACAGGATACTAAGTAAATAGATTTAGGCAGAATTCTCAGCTAGTGGAGATTTTCCCCATATTCTCAGGTGAAACTACCTACAAGGTGGAGAGACAGAGACAGAGAAAATGCCTCTTTGCCAGGAGGTCTGGGTATGTCACCCCAGTGCCACCAATTTCAAGCTGGCTGGGTCAATTCTCCTCTCTGAGCCTTTCCTTCCTTGGCTCTGAGGTGGGGACGGTAATCAGTACCTGTTATTGGCTGAATTATGTCCTTTCCAAAATTTATATACTGAAGTCCTAACCCCCAGTATCCCAGAATATGACTGTATTTGGAGACAGGTAATAAAGGTAAACTGAAGTCCTTAGGGTGGGGCATAATCCAATACAACTGCCTCTATAAGAGGAGGAAATATGGAGACAGACACATATAGGGAAGACGACATGCAGATGGGGATGATGCCATCTACAAGCCATCTGTAAGAGAGCCCTTACCAGCATCTTGACCCCAGACTGCTGGAAATAGTTTTTATTGTTTAAGCTCCCTGGCCCTTGGTACTTGGTTATGGAAGCCAGAGCCAACCAGTACAGTACTAGCAGGCTGTTATAGGATATCCTTTGTGACAATTGGCTCCTCAAGGCTCTGTACAAAACTCTGACTCTTTCTTGCTACCAACAGATATGCCACCAGGAACAGGCATGCTCAGGCATTGTTCCCAGTGTTTTTATCACTCCCATCACAGAAAATTTTTTTCACTGAAGGGACAAAATTGTCCTTTAATTCTAGTCCCACATCCTTGTTAATTTGAATCTAGGCATATAGTAATCTAGGCATATAGTTTAAAATGAAACCTTATAGACAAACATAATCAGAAGAAACATTTCCTCCCTTCATGTGTTTGCCCTTTGCCATGTACTCAAGAGCAAGCGATGATTATGGTTTATTTATGCACCCTTTCAGGAAAATATTTTATGCATTTGTCAGAAATAGAATATATGCATTCCTTTATAAACTTCACATGAGAGATCAAACTCCTTGAAGGGTGCTACTTCCCATCCCCACCTAGGATTTTGCAGGATTTTCCCTGTTGGCCCTGCAGATCACCTTGTACCGTGTACATAATTCAAAGCCTAAGGTCAGTCAGCTCTTTCTGCACCTCGCTGCTCCATCATCTGCAGGAGAGCCATCTTCACCCTGGGTTGCTAGAAATATGTGCTTGAAAAAAATGTGCATTCACAGGAGAAGGGGAGGGAAGAGAGAAGGAAATCTCTCCCCTTTAGTGCACAGCTTCTTTCCAGTCAGGCTGCACCAACCTAATTGCCAGGGATAATTGTAGCCAAAGAAAGTACCCTGTGATGACGTGCCTGGACCAAGCTGCAACTTCCTCTTGCCAAGTTGGGTCAAAGTCCTGACCCAATCCTGGGATGCTGGGATGGAGTGGGTGTGGCTGGTGGGTGGGGGCAGCCCTTTTGGCAGCAGGGGGGCTATAATCCCACTTGCCCAGAGCTGCATATGTGTGTGGTTAAACATGTGCAGATAAACTGAGCTGTGTAGAAGGCTGTTCACCAAAGTGTGCACACGGTGGTGGTTATTTTCGATTAGTCATTCTAGCTCCCCACAATGGACATAATAACATTTTATAAAACAAAAGAAGCCAGTATAAAAGATGCTGCCATAAAAATCTATAAATTACCCTTTAAGGTAGAAAAATTCTTGTCTCTTGGCAAAAACACATAGAGTTTCATGTAATCCACACAATAGTTGCAAAAAGTAGTAATTTTAGACACTTGTAGACACAGATCTTTGGTTAGCTGGTATGAATTTGGTTTTACCATTTCAGCTGCCATAACATGCCTGCTCTGTGCCAGAACCTGGGAGTTAAAGATGTCGGGTTCTTGTCTTTTTTCTCCAACAAGTGCTTGTGTCCTAGTGGGGCAGAATACTATCTGCAAACAGATGAACCCAAGCTCCTGTGATTGTTTTCCCGAAGAGTATGGGGAGCAAAGAGAAGAAATGATCTATTGCTAAGGGGCAGAGGCTACGTTCAGCCCCCACTGCAGGACAGCCTCATGGGCAAGAGCTTGACTCTGGTGTTGAAATGCAGGCCAGTGATCTAACAGCTTTCCTAGATTAAAATAGCATCCACTTGTGATCTCACAGCCTACATGCCAACAGCCCCAAGACCAGGTTGGATTCTCTACTCAGGGTCACACAAGGCTGCCATAAAGGTGTCAGCATGGCTGTGTTCCTTCCTGGAGGTCTCTGGAGAGGCTGCTTTCCAGCTCATTCAGGTTGTTGCAGAATTTAGTTTCTTGCAGTCTCCTGAATCCCTAAGGCAGCAGCATTCTGACCAGGCACACAGAGTCTCTCGTGGAGGTCCCTGTCACCTCCCTCTGCCTTCCTCTGCTGGTCTCTTGCACTGTTAAGATCCACGGGATAATCCAGAATGACCTCCCTTTTGTAAGGACCTGTGATAAGTAACTTGAATTACATTCGAAGTCTCATTTGCATGCAAAGTAACAGATTCATAGTCCCACGGATTAGCTGTACAACCTTTTGGGGGTCGTGATTCTGCCAGCCACAGTCCCTGAACTCCATCTCACCTGCCAGGTACCTAGCATGGAGTTCTGATGAACTACCGGGAGGAAAGCCAGGCTTCCTGACAGGTGACAGGGCTGTCACAGGGCTCCCTCATGTGGGAGTGTCAACGGTTTCTTGTCTTTCCTTAATGCAGAACTCAGGGTCACTTGCCCTTGCCAGCCAAAGAAAACTCGAGCTGGCTTTCAAGTATTTATCACTGTGTTTTAAATTTATGAAAAACAGTTGAAAAAAATTTGGAATAGGTTCATGAAAATCCAGATTTCTGCTTTCTCTTGAAAACTGAGCAGCTCTGGCAAACCTTAGTTCCAAGTGAGGCTGGAACTGGGGGCCCCCCAGGAAAAGACCGGGGTGTGGGCCCCGCTTCCTGTAGGATCCTGCCGCCCTCCTGGGTGGGACGCAGCGTCCACAGTCGGTCCTTGAGCCAACCCCACTAGGAAGGGAGACAGCCAGTATTCACAGACGCCCGTCCGCAGCAGGCCCTTTAATGCTCCTAACAACCCCGGGGAAAGGTACTTTAGTGTCTCCTTGACCTAGGCACTCCTCGCTCGCTCTGGGCGCAAAGCCGTGCCCTCGGCCCGCTGGTGTCCGCGGAGCTTGCACCCGCCCAGCTCTGATTGCGGGCCTGGACCCACCGCGCTGGCTGCCGCCCCTCAGTGGTCACGTGAAGGCGGGGCGCAGCAGGGCTCCGTAGCCCGGGAGGGCAGAGTCCGCCGGGGAGGCCCCTACGTTCGTACATCCCTGCCCAGTGCACCACGCCGCGATGCACGGGGTCCAGCTCGGCTCGGGCTTGCAGAGTCTGAACCCAGAGCCCCCAGAGGAGCTGCCCGCCCAAGAGGTAAGGGGGCAATGCTCGCAGCGCCTCTGCCCCGGGACCACCTCTGAGAGCGCAAACCCGCAGAAAGGCAGCGCCGGCTGCGGGGACTGGGGGTCCTGCGGGCTCAAGCGAGCGAGCAGCTCTCTTAGGCCCGGGAATCCCGTATCCCAAATTTGGCTGCTCAGCCGCGAGCCGTAGCCTGGAGCGCAGCCCTGTGCGTTGGGGTCACTTGGGGAGCTGTCAGCCTGGGCTGCGGTGACCGGACCTGGTTCCAAGCCCGCGCTCTGAGTGCAGGGAGGGCCGAGCCCTACGTAGCAAGCAAGGAGCGACCCCCAGCCGGGTCCCCAGGCCGTGCGTCCCGCCCAGCTCTTCCTGCCGGCGCAAAGCAGCTGGGGGTCCGGGCGCAGGGAAACACTGGGAAGAGGCTGCAGGGTGTAGGCCAGAGTGCTGACGCAGCCTTTGCTCTTCCGACTCACGTGGGCCGGGCAGATGGGCCCCGAAATCGCCGTGGACTCTTTGGCTCTGACCGCCAGAGTGTCTTTGGAGTTGACTGGCCTGGGGTGAGTCCTTTGGTTGGATACAAAGTGGAGAGGGGAGTTGTTAACAGGTATTGGGGTGCCCAGGGGACCTTCCAGGCTCTTGTTGTTCTGTTCAAGAATGTGAAAAACGTAGAGGTTTTACATTTATTGAAGGTATTAAAAGTATTACAGGTAAGGAAAGTAGGGAAAGAAGTACTCTGAAAAGGAGAGTTCTGCTGAGCAAATGTGGGCCAGTCAAGTAGGAAAAGAAGTGTAGTGCATCGTGTAGAATGCAGGGTGGGCAGGTGGAAAGGCTCACAGGGATATACCCTCATTCTGCCTTCAGATCCCAAACCGCATTGATCTTTGGAGAAACGAATTGAAGACAGAACTCTGGTATGGGGTGCAGGGCTCAGAAGCTGTTCTGTGGATGTGTCCTGAATTTCCGTGACTGGCAGGTCTCTGTGATCAACAGGTCATACCCAGTTCCCCAGAGGCGTTGCCACCCCCAAATCTCCTCCCCCAATATCACCCCTGCTTGGTCACCTACCAATGGGCCCCTGGAGCCTGTTGGAGGGGTCCACAGGGCAACATTTTCTGTGAGGTTTTAAAGTCCCGTCTGGTGCCCTGGGCTTCCTCTCTGGCCTGCTGATCTCCCACAGGAATTTGGCCACTTCCAACAGATGGGTTGTGCCTCTGACCTTTAAGGAAGCAGACCAGGAAGGAGGAGGAGGGGGAGGTCCCAAGCCAGCCCTTACTCCCCCTGATAATGAGTGGGAAGAAAATAATCTGAGAATATTGACCTTCTTGTATGTACTTTACACCTTTTTGTCTAAATAAGAGGAGTGCAGTACTAATAATGATAATGATAATAATAGTAATAATAATAATCTGAGACCTCAAGAAATGGAAGAAGGACAGAAAACAGTCCTGTCCTCTGACTGACTCTTTTCACTTAATGGCATCTCCAGGAGTCAGATCTTTCACAGCTCAGTGTCTTTCAAAGACCTTCCTCAGGGGAGCAGATAAAGATTAGTCTGGTACCAACAGATAATCCTCAGTAGAACACCTGTTTGCTGAAATAAAAGAAATGATCTAGTCATTAAGAGACAATGTCTAGCTAGATCTCAGAAGGACACCAGCCAACTGACTGGGTTAACCTTATTCAAAAGTTAGCTTTGGGTTAAGCAACAAGAAACTGTGGAGTCAACTGAAATGCACCAAGGCCCTCTTTTTTCAAGGAATTTTTAAGAACTCTTCTACATGGAGTTTCTTTTGGCAGCTACTAAGCTGACAATACTTCTTGAATCAACCTGCTTATACTTTTTTTTTTTTTTTTTTTTTTTTTTTGGTAACTAGGGATTGAACTCTGTACCTTGTGCTTGCAAGGCAGGGGGCAGCACCACTGAGCTATCCCTGGTCCAACCTGCTTATACTTTTGAAATAGAAATAGCCCAAATGCTACTGATTCTCATTGTGGGTTAGAACTAATGGGAAAACTTTTAGGAATGTTCCTAGTTCAGCTCCTGTTTCTCAAATTCTGATTTTATTGTCTGGGTGTGGCTTGGGCCACAGTTACTTTACTGCTATTGGGGGATTCAAAGTGCCACCAGCACTGAGATTCTGTGCCCTGGGATGTTTCTTTTTGACACTCTTTGTGGTCACTCCTTAATACTTTATGTGCTTGTATTTGGGGTGATTTTTTTTTGTACTGGGGATCGAACTTGGGACCTTGTGCTTTCAAGGCAGGTGGCAGAACCACTGAGCTAAATCCCCGGCCTATGTGCTTGTATTTGAATATTCTTATTCTTAAACTTACTTGAGGAGGTTTTCGATGACCATTTCTCAGAGCTCTTGGTCCCCTGATGTTGCCTTACAGTGATTTTCAAAGAAGTTTTTGGCAGGGGAAAGGGGCAGTAACCAGAAGGGCTGCAGCAGTCTGGCCAGGGCTCTTTCTCATGGTGGGGTGAAGGGATCCCCAAGAACATTAGGAGAGCAGATGGTCCAGGCTGAAATTTCCACAGGGAAATTCCACAAGGAGCACCATAAAACCAGTTGCCCAGGCAAATGATTTAGTGACAGAGGAAAGTGAGGTTTATGATGACCTAGAGGGCAGTCCTCTACCCAAAGAAGACTACAGCTACCCATTTCCAGCTGTTCAGGTGCCACGTGTGCAATCCTAGATTGCAAGAGTGGCTTCTGAGTCCTCCCATCTTCCTCAAACACAGGCCCCTTTTGCAAAGTGACTGCAGTTCATTCCAGTAATAGGTGGGGTCCATTTCTGCAGCCCTTGCACCTGAGTTTGGTCATGAGACTTGCTTTAGCTAAAGGGACATTGGCAAAAGTGCTGCACTCAGTGGTGTGGGAACCACTTGAGTGTCAGTGCTTACTCTTCTGCTGCTCTCGGGGACTCTGTGACCCTTGACTCAGAGTGCACATGACCATGACACACGAGCAAGGGTCTCTCAGACCATTCATCCCCTAATATTGTAGGGATCAGTTAAGATAGCCTGGGCCAGCATTGCTCAATTGACCCACGTGATATGGGAAAACATAAAATGTTTATCCAGGTGAGTTAAGTATCAGGGTGAGTAGCAAAAACTTATTATAGTATAGTCTCACATTGCCAGATGTTATAACTTTTAAAATAGAAACCATAAGTTCAAATTTTTGTGTAAGCTCCAGTTTAAAAAGAAATTGAATTGGTAGCCAACATCCTAAAAGCACTCTGTGGGCCAAACCAAACACATCTTTAGGCTGCTCTTGGCCTGTTGGTTGTTGGTTTCAGCTTTCTACACAGAAGGATATGAGGTATTTATACTAATGCCTCATTGTCCTCATACCTTGAGCCATCCCTTCTTGCCAGACTGCTGTGCTCCTCTTATCCTTGACTACTGTCTCTCTGTATGGAATACCCACTCTAGATGGCACAGTGCAAGCTACTCCAGGCAGTCTTTCCATATGGAAATGCCACCTGTGGGGATTGCCAGTCTTCTTGGAGAAAGGGAAGTTTGAGGTGGGTTTCCAGTGAAGGAACGTGGACAGGACACACATGGTTCTGGGTGAGCACGAGATGAGAGAAGGAGGAAACTCCATGGGGAACAATGAACACGGAATCCACAGTTTTGTTTTTGTTTTTTGTGGGTTTTGATTTGTTTTGGTTTGAGGTTTTTGAAAAAGGGTCTTGCTATTAGTTCAGGCTGGCCTTGAACTCAGTGAACCTCCTGCCCCAGCCTCCCAAGTGGTTGTGTGTGTGATTATGCCTGGCATTGAAATCCATTACTTTGGGTCAGAGAAGAGTGTCCCTGGAGGGAAAGTGAGGGAGAGAACATTGGAGAGGAGTAGAGAGGAGGTTGTAGAGCCCCTAAACACTATGCCAGAGGATTTTCTCTTGATTGTCTGGACAAAGGGGAATCATGAGGCAAGAGAAGAAGCTTTGGAATGGGGGCCCCATATGGAAAGCAAGGGTTTACTCTTTTCTACAGTATGCAGAATGAACCCGTGGTAGGCTGAGGGAGATAGGCAGAAGGAGTAGTATTTATAATGATAGACAAACACTGGGATTGGAAAGAAAAACCAGGATGGGGGAGAAGTTAACTTAAAATAGTGGGAACAAAATTCTCTTGGCCTTATGGCTCCTTGTGCTAATTTTTCTCATCTTGAGGTGCGAGAGACATATCAGCTGTGTTTTCAAAGCACTCTGTCCTTAACATCACTTCTTCCTGTGATTCTCATTGACTGACTTATAGATATGTGGGGTTTATAATTATTTGTTCCTATGATGGGAAAGACTGAACTGAGAGCTTCTGAGGTCAACTTTCTGTCCATTCTGTCATTCTAAGGAATTCACCTTACAACACTGGGGGGAAGATAGAGAGAAAACACAAAAACCTCTCTCTAATTCCTCCTCTCTCTAATTCTAAGGAATTCACCTCACAACATTGAGGGGGAAGACAGAGAGAAAACACAAAAACCTTAAATATACTTTAAAATCTTGGTGGTGAGGGGAAAGGAAGTGTCACAGTTTTGAGAAGTGAAAGAAAATCAAGAAAAGTCCATTGTTATAGTGCAAAGAGAATAGCAAACATAATGAGGGCCTGGGGATTTAGCTCAATGTTACCGCTGCCTGGCTAACCCTAACCCTAAGCACAAGGTCCTGAGTTCGATCCCCAGTGTCAACCCCCCGACCCCCAAAACCCCCCAAAACATGAGAAACATTAGGAAAGTGGCCATATTTAGACCTATGGTTTTCAATCTTGACTGCACATTTGAATCACCTTGGAACTTTAAAAACTTGAATCCAGGCCCCACTTCCCACAGTTTATACAGTTATTAATGTTAGGCATTTTCTGCTCACAAAATATTTCTAATCATCCCCAGGGGATGCCCCTCCCATTCTTCAATGGCAAGGATGTTCACTGGAAAAACAATTGATATTAATGGTTTTTCTATTAAAATGTTTTTAATGTGTAAAAGAAAAATGTGTGCTAAGTGTTAAACACATACTTAGTATTCCTTATATTTTGATGGACATATAGGTTGCTTCCAAGATTTAGCTATTATGAATTGTGCTGCTATAAACATGGATATACATGAATCACTGTAATATGATATCTGTAACTCCTTCAGGAAGATTAGGTCTATATATTTTGTCTTGGAAACAAATCCAGAATATATTGAATGAAAAGTATAAGCTATGAATTATATGAAAACATTATTATTTTTGCTATTTGTGGTGCTGAGGATGGAACCTGGGGCATTGAGCATGCTATATCCTCAGTCCTAACTTTATTGTTTTAGAATTATATGTAAAAGGCCTGGGGATTTAGCTCAGTGATGCTGTTGCCTTCCTTGCAAGTGCAAAGACCCGAGTTTGATCCCCGGCACCCCCACCAAAAAATTATATGTAAATGCAGAGTCATACCTTCAGAAATCATCAAGACAATAATTCCCTTAAAAATCCTCTTGATCACCCATCAAGAAGCTTAAATGTGATTTTGTACTTATGTATTTTTTGTGTGTGCATATACAGTACAGTAATGCCTTGGTTCATGAAAGTTTCTCTTTGGGAATAATTTGATTCACAAGCAAAAGTGTTTGGCAAAATTTTGCTTTGGTTTTTGAACTTTGAATTGGGTAATGAAAATGACCTAGGCATCTTCCCTGGAATCGTGCCAGGAATTAAGTTTGTGAACTGAGGCACACTATATATGTAGAGCCATGATCCTCTATATGTATATAAAAATATACCACTTAGGTACATTACGTGGCCTGTTCTGTACTCTCTTTTCTTTTGTCCCTCTGAGAACCTGCATTTGGATTTGGGTGAGTGCAGTGTGCTGTGCTGTCCAGCTTACTGTGGGGTCTTTGGCATCTAGCACATAGGGAAGCATGCAATGTGCACAGTCCCCTCTGGGGACAACAGGGGCTGGGGATTGGGTTGGAGGACGAGGTCGGGCTTTTGCACTTGATGCCCCCTCAAAAGGGAAAAGAAAGTGTCCTTTTTAGCCTGACTGTTTCCTCCCTTTGCTTTCTCCCACGGGGAACAGAACCTTCTGCTGGCAGCTGCTTACGTTTCCGATGCCCAGTACAACAGAAATGTTCCCTTCCAAACATCCCCACAGGCGATCAGGTAATTAAAGTGTTAAATGGTCCCATGGAGCCACCCAGAACCTTCTTTCTTGGGGTTGAAGAAAACTCAAGATGTTGCTTTCATAGATAATTCTGAGAGAGATCCAGGGCATGGCACATTTTGATAAAATTCAGTGCTTGTAAGTTTCAGGAGCCTGGTGCTTCATGTGTGGGAGCATTCATCTGACTAAGAGCAGATGAATGAATAGCTGCCATGCTGGGATCGGAGATGGGGACCCTGGCTAAGAATGTCATTGCTTTGCCCCAAAGAAGCATTGTCCTCTCAGAGTCACCCAGAATAAAAACGAAGCCTTTTATTTTTCCCTACTGTCTCTTTTGATGAAATCCACGTTTGTTTGTTTTTTTTGTTGCTTTTTTTTTTTTTTGGTGGGAATTCACATTTTTGTCTTTCACCCCTTAAAGATTGAACTATGGCCAGCATTTGGTCTAGAATAAGGAAAAAAAAAGTATTTCTTATCATCAGGGTTCAGTGCCAGTGTCTCCAAAAGCAGCAAATGCCTCATCCCTGGATGCTGCCAGGCAGGGATGGGGACAGCCCCCATGACAGGAAGAGAACCCTGTGACCTCCAGGTCTCTCTGGGGTCTACTGTGGTAAGATGGGGTAAGGCACATCTCCATGTTGGGTTACCATGCCATGTAATGACAGGTCACTTTACCCTGCATCAGTCATTAGCTAAGTCTGAGGGTTATTCTCTTTTTATTATTCCCCAAACCCAAAGAAAAAGATGCACATCTTAGCCTGAGACTACTCAGAAAATGTGCTTTGAGATGTAAAACTATTCTTGTTTTTCTTTTTCTGCTAATGTTTTTTTTTGGGCGGGTACTGGGGATTGAACTGAGGTCTTTGTGCTTGCAAGGCAGGCCATGAGCTAAATCCCCGGCCCCTCTGCTAATATTTTGTATTACAAGCTCACTTAAACACTGGCCCTGCTCCCTGGAACTTAAAAGGAGATGTGGCTAAGCCATTGCTTCTTTATCTTAGTCTCTTTTATTTATTCGCTTATTTTATTTTTGTGGTCCTGGGACTCAAAGCCAGGGCCCTGCACATACTAGGCAAGTCTTCTTATCATTGAGCTACTCTCCCAGGCCCTCCCCACCCCACTTCTAACTTTATTATGTGTTTGCAGCACATAATGGTTATTAAGTCCATTGCAGTGCTTGTTTCGTGTACATAACACATTTCAATCCCCCTCTTCCCCCTCCCTCTCATTTGTCTTTATAGGGAAGTTTGGGTGTTGTTAACTCCTGCCCTGTGGCTATAACCACCTTCATGCTTTTCCTCTACAGACTTTACTATTTTTATAACCACTGGATGATGGGAATGGCCACATACATTTTTATCTGTGTAGACCTCTCTCTGGCCCTGTTTGAGGAGCCCGCGCTGTTCCCGTTGCCTTTTGTGGTGAGCTTCAGCATGAGATGGTTAACTTGTAATCCCCTTTGAGGTTGTTATCATCCCCTTTTTAACAGAACATCTGTTGTCATCCCCTTTTCAGCAGATGAGAGAGTTGAGCCTTAGGAGCTTTGTCTAATTTGTCCGACACCACTTGGAAATTGGGTAGAGCTAGTCCAAGCCAAGTCTGTCCAATTTCAAAGTTGCTTTTTAATAACCGCATGGACTCTTTATTTTTCCAAGTCTCAGGTATCTATTGCTGCATAACAAACTACGCTAAAACTCCAATGCTTAAAGCAGGGGTCAGAAACTGTATGGTAGGACAAATTTGGCTCTTGTCTGCTTTTGTACAGCATGTGCCTTAGTGCAACAAACTCCTTGTTCCCCGTCCCCCATTCAGGTTGAAACCTAACCCCAATGTGATGGTGTTTAGAGGTGGGATGGTGTTTAGAGGAGATGATTAATCAGGAGGATGGAGTTTTTAGGAACAGGAATAAAAGCCCTGGGATTTAGCTCAGTGGTTCTGTCGCCTGCCTTGAAAGTGGGAGGTTCTGACACTGATCCCGGTACAGAAATAAAAAAAAAAAAGAGCCCAGGCCTTTCTGTTCCTTGTCCCTTCTGTCATATGTGTACATAGAAAAAAGAAGGCTGTCAGGAAGCCTTCAGAAAGTGCATTCTCAGCAGAAACCAAATCTACCAGTACTTTGATCTTAGTCTTCAGTCTCCAGAACTAACAGAAATAAATTCCTGTTGTTTATAAGTACCCAGTTCATGGTATTGTTCGTATTTTGTTATACAAAGGGGTAAAAATCAGAAGCATTGTTTATGGGATGCCTCCAAGCAACATCCCCCACACTTCCCTGAGATAAAGATTCTGCAGAGCATGGATTCTCTGGGTAGAAGACCTTTAGCCCAGTGCCCTATTCATGTACACATAAAGTCTGCAGAGGCAGAGCCATGCTCCACAGACCCAGACTGAATGTCACCTGTCCCTCCCTAGCACTTGCCCCGCCCAGCCAGGGTAGGAATTTTGCAGAGTGCTTTGTCTCAGCCACTTGCCTTTCCTGTGTGGTGCTGGTCACAGCAGCTTCTGGGTTGGCCACCTGGGTGTCCTAGTGCTCCTTCAGCCATTGTTCCTCCTGCAGTCCCCAAGACAAACATGTCATGGGGTCGGGGGTGCTGTGGTCTCACCAGCATTTCCATGTTGTCTAATTTTGAGCAGGCATGTATTGCAATTGCCCAAGGCCTGCAAGCCCTTCACAGATGAACAGGCCAACAGCTAGAAGACTTGCAAAGGGCTACAGCCCAGGACCCATCAGGGGTGGAGTAAAAGGAGATGATTATGTCACCTGCAGCTCATTCCTTCTGGTCCCCAGAGAGTCTCTTCTCTCTTCCTAGTTTAAGCCAACTCACCCCTCTCCTGGTCTCTTCCTGCTTTGCTGCCATCTTCTCCCTGTTGGTAGAGGAAAGTGTCCTTACTGGGGAGTTCTCCTGGCAATCACAGGGCCATGATGGGCTGCAGGCATGGACCACAAGGCTGGCTGGCTGCAGGGAGTTTGGGGTTGGGGCTCTGTACCTGTGGCAGGCACTCATCAGGACTTACACTGAGCTCGGTGGCCCTCACCCTCTCTGCTCACCAGCCAAGTTTAGGCAGTATGGCTGCAGTAGCTATGATGTTTAAGGTATGACACCCAGACCCCTTTCCAAACATACTTTAGGGAGTGTCTTAGTCCATTTTCTGTTGCTATAACAAAATACTGGGGCCAAGGTAGTTTATAAAGAATAGAAGTTTATTCAGTTCATAGAGGCTGGGAAGTCCAAGGACTTGGCTAATTTTTGGAACCAGGCAGCAAAGATAGGTGGCAATGGGAGGAGGGGATCATGAGAGGATGACAGTGGAGCCTTCTGATGACAGGACCCAGGGCTCAGTGCTGTCCTCTCCTTGCAGGCCACTGCCCTCACAGAAGTACTCTGCTTGACTGCATTCTCTGTGAGGCTGGTGCACTTTGCTAAAGTCACTCCTCAAATGGTTTTCTGGAAGGACATGAAGAACATCTGCATCATGGTAACCATCATGGTGAGTGTGCATTGCCATGCTTGGGGGCATTTATGATCAGAGGCGGAAATCGGGGAGGAAAAGAATTGATGAGTTTGTTTTTGTTAAAGCAACACCTTGCTGGAGCAAACCCTGGAAGTGTGATGGTATAGCTGCAATCAGAGCTCAAGCCCAAGGATGAAAATGGCCAAAAGTGACAGCTTGGATATTTTAACACATTTTCACACTTGGCCCAGGCCAAACTAGAGAAAAAAATGACAGATGCTCTAATAGAAGAATGAGCTGAAAAGGGGGAAGCCAACTCATAAAAGAAGGAATTGAATACCCGGAACAGCAGACATGAAAGATATTTATTTAACCAAATTAAACAATATAGATCAAAACAACACAATAACATGTATTTACCTTTAAGAAAATGTCAGCAAGACTGAGAGAAAACAAACTTTATACCTTATTAGAGAGAGAAATAAGCTGTATTTCTAGAAGGCTGCTTGGAAGTTCTTTTCTTTTCCTTTCCTTTCTCCCTCTTCCTTCCTTCTGTCATCTGTGATACTGGGACTTGAACCTAGCACTTCTGCATGGGGCTACATCCTCGGCCCTTTTTGGTTTTTATTTTTTTAGACAAAATAAATATTTTTTATTTTACTAAGTTGCACAGGCTGCACTTGAATAGTTGATCCTCCTGCCTCAGTTTCCCAGAGGACTGGGATTGTAGGCCTGTACCACTGTGCATGTTCTGGGAGCAGTTCTTTTCAAAAGCCTTAAATGTGCATATACTTGCACTCTGGCCTTCCATTTCTGGGATTTGTTTTTAAGAAAGAAGGACACATTTAAAGATTTAGCAACAAAATTGGTGGTATCTGAGCTGTTCATAATATTGAGATTGGAAACAACTTGGTTCTCTGACCAGAGATAGATACAATAGGAAAGTGTGAAATAAAGTGTGATATGTCCACACAGCCCTTTAAAGTTATGTTAAGGGCACATATGTGTCTATAATCAAGGAGAGATGATTACCAGCAAAAAGTTACAGTATAGTTGGATCACATTTTGGTTAAAAAGAAGCAGTGGCACTGGGAGTGTAGCTTAGGAACGGAACCCTTGCTTCTCTAGCATGCATGGGACCCCTGGGTTTGATTTGCAGCACCACAAATGCCAACAACAAAACAAAAAGATAAAAGAATGTTATATGCAGTGGTACCTTGGTTCACAAACTGAATTCTTTCCACAATTCTGGTCACAAACTGAATTGGACACAAACCAAATCAAATTTCCTCATAAGGTCAACATTGAACCTAACCGTTGAATCTGATTTGGTATTCATAGAAAAATCTAGACCATACAGTGCATGACAAGCAGAGGGTGCACTCTGAACTGCTCCTGCAGTGAGCAGAGAGGCCCTTGGGGGTCAGATGAGGGGGTTTTATGTTAACATGCCAACATGCCTGACCATAGTTCTTTGCGGTGAACCTCAGAACCACAGCTCTGCCATTTCCATGTGCTGCTCTCTTCCCAGAGCACTGTCCATTCATGGGCTTCTGTGAACATTCCTAGGTGTGGAGGCTCCCATGCAGCCACTGGTATTGGTTCCCCTCTGAGTCCTTTGCTCTGTGGCCAGGGCTTGCTGGTTACTGCCACATCAGCATCGCAGAGAGCGAACCCACCCTCTTCCCTGTAGGATTCTGTCTTCTATATCTGTTTTCAGAGTCCTCCCTGTCCTGTCCCCTCCCTTCTCTCTGGTGCCTGCCTCCAGTTTTGCTCAGGATGCCTCTTGCACTGTGTCCTCCTCCTACTCCTCCTTCTCTTCCCACTGGTCTGCTCCTGTCCCTGTTCTGGGCTCTCATGGTGTCTCAGCTGCATGTAAGATCTCTCCTATAACACAGTTCAGGCCTCATCACCCTCACCTGCCTTGGCCACCCCAACCCCAAATCACTGATGTATGAATTTTAGATGCTCTTGCTGGATTGATTCTTCAGAGACAGACTTCAGATCCTGTCCCTCCCTTGCTCAAATGTCTGCCAGCCCCTCTGGCTGGTCAGGACAACGATGCCACCAATTTCTCTGCACATGTGTCTGTCCTCTCTTTCACACCAGCTGGCTGGGCTGTCTGCTACTCCTGCATTTCTCTGCTTGAGGTCCTTCTTTGGCCTGCAGTGTTCTGTTCATCTCTTGTTCTCTCTCTAAAGATTTGCTTGGACTTTGCTTTCACATTGGCAGAGCCCTCAGAATATGCAGAGTGTCTCCACTTTCCTGATTTCTAGAAATATCTTCACCTTCCATTATTAAAAGCTACACTGGCACCCGTGTTCTGTGATAGTACCTGTGACCATACACTTGGTTTTCATCCTTAATGGAGTGTGTAAGAAAACTGTAAAAACACAAAAACAAAAAGTGTGCGCTTAGGGGGCTTATTTTGAAAAAAAAAAAAAAGAAATAAAAAAACCCAGAGTCTGTAAGATAGAAAAAGATGCCCCTAATTAAGGGTCTTTCATGAAAGACTCTTACTCTTTGTGCCTCCACAGCTCACTGCTCGGGGAGGACATACCTTACAAACCTAAGTCTGCACAGCACTCCTTCAGATCACCGGCTTTCCATCCGTGGCAGAGAAAAGCTGGAGTCCTTGTTATGGACACAAGGATGAGAGTCTCTTGCCATTGTCTGTCCCTTCCTGGTTTCATGACACTGCAAGCCCCAGAGTCCTCTTGTTGTTCCCACACCTCCACTCTGCCTGGACGGTGTGGCCCAGCCATGTGACTCCTACAGCCTGACCCTGTGTGTTCTCTAGGGCACACCCTGCCCCAGGACGCAGAGCACATCTGTAGTGGGTCCTGTTCTTCCTTCCCACTGGACTGTGCTCACCCGAGCACCTTCTGCCCTGCATGCAACCCCAAGGGGGCACCCTGCGCATGTGCACAGCCGTTTCCAGTACAAAATGGCCTCACTTCCGTGCCCCTCCCGCCATATCCTTATTAGGACAACTTCTAGGGTTCCCCAATGCTGGAACTATGTTGTGTCTTTCTAGCCTGGCCCTCAAATTTCCTGTCTTTGGCCCTTGTCACTTCTGCTGCTTCCCTCTGCCCCCGCTCCCAGGACCCTGCTTTTCAAACTTGCCGGGATGTTTCCTCCACATCCTGTCGACTATTTCTTCCAACCCTGCTCTTGCCTTTTCTGAGTTTTATCTTCAAAGCTCAGTGCTTTAAGATCGCGTCAAGTAGTGCCTCCTCCATGAAGCTCCCCAGATGTCATAACCCTTTGTGACCTGCCTAATGCTGCTGCAAGGGCAGCCACACCAGCTCCCTCCCCCTGATGCCCAGGGCGATTTCTATGTCATTTCCCTCTGCTGTGGTGGGCGATCCTTTTGGGATCTCCCTGGATCTTCTGTGTGTTACCACCAAAGGGGCTAAATGCAGGTGGTTTGATGATGATAGATTATCCTTTTTTACATAAAGATTTCCAGTGGACACTAGGCCAATGGTGGCAAACCTATGGCCTATGTACCCACATGAAGTGTTTGTTATCATTGAAAGCTCTAAAAGTTTCAGCGTCTCGGCTAGACTCTTCTTTTGTCCCACCCTCCCATGCATCTTTTGCCTACAAACCTGACATGAATAAAGATTTCTGTGTTCCAGGTATTCTTATCCCGGTTAGCAGACTAGAAGTCCTCTCTTTCATATGTCAAATGGGAGGAAAGTTCAGTAGGATTCTGTGTGGACACAAGTAGCAATGTGACAAATAGTGAAGGGTGAGCATCTGTGGTCTGTCTTCCAGTCCCAGATGTGTGATCAGAGGCCATGTGATTGCCTTCTCTGTGCTTCAAATTCTTCCTTCTGGGGGCAGCAGTGTGCTGAAGCTAAAATGAAGAAACTATAGAAGGTGCTTATTATACTGCACGACACCTAGTAAGACCTCCAGGGCTAGCTGTGATTGATGTTGTATTACAAAGTGGAATTATGCTGTTTAGGAAACTTGAAATTTCACGTGATACTCTGACTCCCCTCCTAGCTGGGTAAGGACTTCTCTGTCCTTTGGTAGTGAGGTTCTGACATCTGTCTTCTGTGTCTCTTTCAGGTGACCTTGATTGACCTCATTATCTATGGGTCCCTGGCAGCTGTTCACATCCACAGCATTAGATGGACAAGGGCCTTGAGGCCGGTCTTCCTAATTAACTTCCCTGAAAGTCGTCAGGTAAGCATATGATTTAGAATGCGCAATGCTTTGGTTTTGGTTTTTACAGAAAATTAGCTGATTTCTCATAAATGAAATGAACTTTTGTCTCCCTAGACCCGAAGGGCTTTTCGAAGCATCCGGAACACTCTGCCTGACATCTTGTATGTCTTCCTTCTGTTCCTGTTCAGTGTGCTCATGTTCTCCCTGATAGCCCTGAAGCTTTTTGGGGATAGGTAAGCCCACTTCCCTGCAGGCTTCTGCCTGTGAATCTCCTGTATTTGGGTTAAGCCATAGCCTGCAGAGCCTGCCACAAGATGCTGTCTTTCTTGTTCCACACTTCAAAAATGCCTTTAAGAGGGGGACAGTGTATCAGAATAAGCATTTAACTTATGTGTGTGGTTTTCACTTTGTGCTTTTGGTTCCTGTTTAGGGGGTTGAAAACAGCTGAAGGAGCTCCTTACTTCACAAATATTCTGGAAATTGCATTTGAGCTCTACGTGCTGGTCACTACGGCAAACAACCCTGACATCATGTATGTGTCCCCTGGTCCATGTTCATAGATATCTGTCACTGTAACGTAATTCACATTATTAAAAGTAGCTGGATGCATGGCTCAGTGGTAGAGCTCTTGCCTCACATGTAAGAGGCCTTGGGGTTCCATCCCCAACACTGAAAAAAATAAAACAGAACAGAGCAAAACAAACTCAAAAAGCAGCTATCTTCAGCAGGACCGAGAGGGGGAAAATGTGATTTTCTCTTCAGTTGCATTCATTGTAAAAATATTGAAGAGTATAAAATCTTACACAAATGATCACCTATCATATTTAAAACTAAATCAGGTGAATTCTTTGAAAATTGAAAGCAACAGGAGACATCTCTTGAGATTCAACTCTTAACTAGTGGGGCCCACTGGTCTGGATCCCCTATTCTGGGATTTTCTCTTAAGCATTTTGCTTTATTTTTTTGGTGCCAGGGATTGAACTTGGGTTCTTGCTCTTGCTAGGCAGGTGGTGGAACCACTGAGCCAAATCCCAGCCTGTTATTTTGTTTTTCACTGAGACAAGGTTTTGCTATGTAGTCTGGACTGGCCTTGAATTCACTCATTATGTAACCTCCTGCTTCAGCCTCCTGCCTCAGCAAGGTCCCAGTGCTGCTGTGTTCTTGAGTTTTTCCTTCAGGACCCTAACCACCAGCCATTCTGGCACCCATGACATGGCCCCGCCTGTAGGACATCTGATTTCCATTAAAGGTGTTCCCAGTTTACGCTTCTTGTTCTGTCACAGCCACTCAAAATGCCCCTTTTATTCTCCCCGTCCCAGGGTGTGTAGATAATTATCTGTCACCTCAGCCAAGGCCGTCCAGTGTCCTTCAGGGCCCTGAATGTAAATCCAAGCCATGCTTCTGGTTCTTTCTGTAATTCTAGGGTGGTGGCTCTCCCTCTCAGTCTTGATTTTCTTATTGTGAAGTCAGAGAAATGGATTAGGCAATTGCTAAGGCCCAACCTGCTTTGAACACTGCCACCTCTGAAAGACACAAGAATTTCAGAAGGGCAGATTTGGAGTGAGCTGTTTAGCCACAGGGATGGTGATGGTTTTAAGGCCCTATGGCACCACATGAGAGTTTTTCAGTGCCTCCTACACAATAATTGTGCTTATGGATATTGTCTGTGGTCACCCTTGTGTGCACTGTGGAATGAAAGCATGAAAAATCACGACACACTGGGGCAAGGGATTTAGCTCAGTGTTGCTAAGCTGTCTTGCTGGTGCAAGATCCTGAGTTCAATCTGCAGTACCAAAATAAATAAATAAATAAAATAATAATGAAACCTAATCACTTCCTTCCAGGATGCCTGCCTATAATGTCAATTGGTGGTATTCCTTGTATTTCATAACCTACATCATCATCAACACTTACATCTTCATGTCTGTCTTTCTGGCCGTGGTCTACAACAACTACAGGAAGCACTTAAAGGTAACAGTCATGAGCTTGGGGTCAGGGGTGGGCAGTGCCTCTGCTGGGCACAGTGACAGGGATGGGCAGGTGTGTTTGCTATGTGGAAGTGGAGGCATTGCTTACTTGGGAGGAAGGGAAAGCTTATCTGGGATCCTGCTCCCTTTCACTAAGCAGAGTGTTTCTTCACCATTCTTCATGGTAGATCTGAGAAGACCCAAATGACAAAGGACATAGCCACCTTTGTTCTGAAAAGTCCTTGGCTTTGCTTATTGCTCTTAACGCATCTAGAATCTCTGCAACATTTTGTGTGGATTGGAGGTTGAGACTCTTTAAGCTTTCAAGTTCTCTCCTCGCTAGGGGCAGGGAGGAAGCTGGGAGAACTGCGGTGTTTGCATTTAAGGAGGAGAAGGCAGTGGAGCTGACTCTCAGATCTGGCCAATCTGGCCTTCAAAGAAATCTGGTGGTGCACGCCTGTAATCCCAGCACTCGGGAGGCTGAGGCAGGAGGATCGCTGTGAGTTCAAAACCAGCCTGGGCTACATAGTGAGTTCTAGGTCAGTCTCAACTACATAGTGAGACCCTATCTCAAAAAACAAAAAAAAAAAAAAAAAAAAAAAAAAAAAAAAAAAGAGAAAGAAAGAAAGAAAGAAACAAATCTGGTTCTGTCCAGGTATTTTGGATCTGACTCTGAGGCAAGGAGGCCTTCTCTGGCCTCTTCCTCCCTCTGATAGGAGAGGCCATTCCCGAAGGTCTGGTGCACCTCTCTTCTCTTTCACTGCTGGACAGAATGGTTGCTGTGCTTCCCCTCTCCCAAGGAAGTGTATTTTTGAGTGACACCTCTGGGAAATTAGTCCCCTGCAACATGCACCACCTGGAAAAGTCATGCTTTATGTGCCCAGCCCCATCCATGTTCTCAAGAGTCAACACTAATACCTAGCCCTTGCTCTTTAAGAATGTATAGTCTAGCTGTGTACTCTGTTAGATGATGATGATATTGGGTAACAGACTTACAGGGAGCAGTAGGACTGGGCATGCAGGCTGGAAGGCTTGGCAGCTGGACAGCTGAGGAAGGCTGTTGTACTACCCTTTACTGGAAGATTCCTTGCGGTCAGGCCAGATGGCACCAGGCAGGCCCCAGCTGTCCTTTGGCCTGGGACTGCTTTTAGCCTTGTTTCACTTCCCTGTGAAAGGACTTTCTCCTCCTCTTCCTCTCTTTCTATCCTGACATAATGATAGCTCTCCCCACCTCCATCTCTGCCTCTCTTCTCAGCTGCACACCCAGTCTCCTTCGTTTCTGGAATCTCCTTCCTCCTGGGCAGAGTGGAGTTTGGAGCTGTCTTCTTTCTGTCACTCTACTTCTTGCCACACAGACTTTCCTTCAAGGGCTCCCTCATTGCAACTTGGTAAGACAAGTATTGTGGACACAGACAGGGGTTAGCTAAATAGGCCTAGAGTGGGGAGGGATTATGTCCTTTGCTTATTAGCAAACCCTTCAGCTGGGCGTGGTGGCGCACGCCTGTAATCCCAGCACTCAGGGGGCTGAGGCAGGAGGATCGCTGTGAGTTCGAGACCAGCCTGGGCTACATAGTGAGTTCCAGGTCAGTCTCAACTACAGAATGAGACTCTGTCTCAAACCAACCCTGCCCCCCAAAAAACCCTTTAGTGACTTCTCCTGGGCTCCTCCATGACTTGGAAACATTTGGGGTGGAAGAAATGGCTCTTCCTCAAATCTTTCTCTTAAAACACTCATCTCTCTCTCTCTCTCTCTCTCTCTCTCTCTCTCTCTCTCTCTCTCTCTTTAAAGAATGAGATTCGCAAACTGGCATACCTGAAACGGCACAAAATGATGCAGGCATTCCATATTCTGAAAGTCAAGGTGGGCACAGAGTTTGTGGTAAAGGAGGCCACATGGAAGCAGCTGGCCAAGGTAGTGGCACCAGACATCAGCAGCTCCCACCTGGAACTCCTCCTGAGGATCTCTGATGAGGGGCAGCAGGGGTATGTGGGTAAGAAGCCTTCCCTGTGCCTCCAGCAGTACCATAGCCATTCCCCAAATCCAAGGATGCTCAAGTCCCTTCTGTAAAAGTCCTTAGTGCTTTTTTTTTTTTTACAACTCTCACACATCCTCTCATCTCTAGATTACTTATAAAACTTGATATAATGTAAATGCTGTAGTCATTGTACCGTATCAGAGAGTAAAGACAAGAAGAAAAGGTCTGAACGTGTTCAGTGCAGAAGCACCCATTCTCAATATTTTTGGCCCATGGTTGGTTGAGTCTGTAGATATAGAACATATAGAAAATATCTGCTGACTGTATTTAAAATTTTTTAGATTAGCAAACACATCCCAGGTCCCCTGACCTTTAATTACTGGCTCATGGTTGGAGTTGCTTGACTTGTGATCTGTTTGTAAAGTAAATGAGGCCAAGACTCATCTAGTTTGAGAAAGGTATTCATCAGTAACAGATTATTTTATAGCTTCACCTATGTGGCAAGAAGACAGTGCCAACGGGTACTTGGTTTAGCCTTTATGAAACAGCATTTAAGTATCATCACCTTTTATATATCATCACCAGGGCAAACCTGTTTGTTTGTTTGTTTGTTTGTTTGTTTTTACTGGGGATTGAACTCAGGTCCTTGCACTTTTGAGGCGGAACCACTGAGCTAAATCTCCAGCCCAGGGAAAACCTGTTTTTAAGGAAGAAAAGCAATCAACTTGCTTGACTTTTGGGATGGTAAGTTATATTTCACAGGATGTAGTAGTAGTTTCTGGTGGCTCTTGTCCCAGGAGACTCCTTATTTCAGAAACTCTTTAAAGGACAGTTTTAATGACAGCAAGCTGAGCAGGATTACACACTTCACAGTGGTCTCCTCTCTGCACAGGCAAAGGATAGCAGTACATCTGTGAAACTTCTCATGTCCCCCTTGACCAGCAGTTTTGAGGATTCTGAGGCCACACGCTGGAGTTCTGTTCATGTCAGAAGCATTGAAACATAAATCTCGTGGTAACCCGAGAAACATAAAACTCATGAGTAGAAAGACAAGTATAATACAAGCATTATAGTACGATTTTTTCCTTAGTGATACTTGTTTTTTGTAGTTTCAAATTTTTAAAAAATCATTTCTTACATGACAACAGTCACATAAAACATAAAAATTATGCACATGTATGGGGTAGAATGTGCTGTTTTTATACATGTACACATTGCATGTTTTGTGATTTTTAATAAAGAGACTGTGAAGCAGGTAATACGGCATCTGCCACAAGGGGGCAGCTGACTGCAGTCCCTGAGTCTGACAAGGCTCACAGCCTGTTTTCCTGTGCCGTGGCTGTGCTCACTGTGTGTGGTCTGTGTCTGCTTCCATGCATAATGGCAGAGTTAAATAGTGACAGAGGCTGTATGGTCTGCACAACCTAGCATACTAACTCTTGGGCTTTTTACTCAAAGAGCTCACTGATGCCCAAGCTATGACATTAAGCAGTAGATAGGTACAAATTCCCTCTTCACACAGAGCTACTATAGTCTTGATTTTTTTTTTTTTTTTTTTTTTTTTTTTTTTTTTTTTTTTTTGTTTTTTTTTTTTGGTTTTTCCTGTTCTCATGGATCTTCTGGTTAAAAGTTGTGAATCCAGGGAGACTGATGGATTCTCTGTTGATCTGAAGTTATCTACTGTACTGGCCAGGGATTTGGGCTGGCTTCCTGGCAGTGACCCCGGTAGGTCACCTTGAGCCCTAGTTATAACCATAACACAGGTATCACAGGGTCTCCATAGCCTCTATTGTGGAGCTCATGTGACCCAAGTTCATGGATCCAGTTGTGCATGTCACCTGAATCTCTGAGGCTGCCCTTCTATCCAAGGGGGTTTTGTGTCTGGCTATTAAGATATATAGCTATGTTTTCTTTCTAACTCTAAAGACCTGGAACTTCAACAGCTTCTAATATATCTAAGTATGCTTTTCACCCAACTTGATGGACTCATGTTCTTTCGTGTTCTTGGGACTATATGGCATTAGTGGAAAATAGCAACCTGAGTGTTTAATGCTACTCAAGACCTAGTCTGAGTCAGGCCACACCCATAGATGAGGCCACATTTGACAAAGCCAAGGCCTTTTCCTTGCTGGTTGTCTGTTGCTGGCAGTTCTGTGACTTTCTTGTATAAACTACACCATGGTACCTGCCACCTGTGCACTAATGGTCCTTTGTTTATTTCTGAAAATGGAAATGGAGACCTGGGAAGCTTCCATGAACTCTGAGAATCTTGCTTGATGTTCAAAAGTAATGCCCCAGTCTTTCACAGTTGTCTTGATTTGTACCTCTAACATGTTTTAGCAGCTTTCTTTGGAGTTTCTGAAAAAATTTAGTTTTCAAAGACGTAGCAACTGTTGGTGCATTCTGATTTCATTTGTTGATGTGCTATTACTTTAGATATATGTTGTTACCCAAAATTTATACATAAATAGTTTTGGGGGCCAGCCCAGTGCCCTGGCTGGTGGGACAGCTGCCCAGCATGGCTGGGAATAGCTTGCTGGCCCTGGGGAATCCAGTGAGTTTGGAAAACAGTGGCTCTGAAGTTGGGTGGGGCCTGGGGCTCAGGAAAGCACCTATTTACTTTGAACTGGCTGGTGGGTTAGCTCCTGTGAAAGCTGAGGGTTAGAGCCCCAGGGAAAGGGAAGGGGAAGAGGCTAGGCAGAGCAGAAGATAGCATTTCAAACAGAAGGGTATGGACTTCACGGTCAAAGGCTTTGTAAGAGAAGAAGGGAAAATGAGCTAAGATCAAAAAGTTTGGTCAGGGGACGCCTGGTAAGCAGCAATGGACCATGTGAAGAGGAACACAGAGGGGAGGGCAGGGAGAGAGGTGGCAGCATCTATAAATTAGCAGAATCCCATTATGCTACCTTGTGGTGGCTAAGGATCTGAACAAGGGCAGGTAGAAGGCCAGGGGATCATCTGGCTCTGTCCTTGCTGGCTCCTTGGCCTTGGGCCGTCACCTTTTGCTTGGTGGAGGGGTGTCTTTCAGTTCTATGATTGTAAAATGCAGAGCTGAGTCTTCCCTGACTTGGCTTTACTCTATAGACCTTTGTGTCACAGTAGCTGTGGATTGTGGGGTCATTTTCTCATTGCAGACAAAATGAGCTTTCTCCGCCTGGCTGATCTCCTCAACATCCAGGTGGTCACTGTCAACCTCAGAAGACACCCACTGGAAGCCTGGGTGCCACGGGTCTACCAGTCATCCATGAGCCTCTTGGTCCAGAGGGTTGTTCGGCACAGGCAAGTGAGACAGTCCAGTGGCTCTGCAGCTGCTCTACAAAGAGGAGACTCTGTCCCTGCCATCTGGACAGAACGTGTTTCATCCACAGCCTGCTTACTGCTTTTGGTTGCTAAGGGAGGCATGGAAAGGGTTCTGGACACACTGGCCTTAGCTAAAAGAACAGGCTTCTAGCTTATGCTTCCTTCTGGGATGTTTCCTAAGATTCTTGAGGGCCACAGACGAGAGGCACTCTCTGAGCCAGGGAAGCTGACCATTTTTGAATTTAGGAGATTCCAGAATAAATATGAAGTTGGTATCAAATATGGTACTTTGATTTTGAGAAGTTCTTAGTCAGAATTCATGAATTAACATTGCTGGAAAGATTGTTAAGGAGGCTAGTTCATTCTTTTACTTTTAATCAGACAGATGGCTACTGGAAGGAACCATTTATCTTGGCTTAAGACTTTCTTTTTAACATGTGGCCCTGCAATGCCCCATCAGTTGAGGCTCATTCTAGCCATGGTGGCCTTTTTCTTTTTTCTTTTTTTTTTTTGCATTTAATATTTCAAAAAAGTGAACAGGGCTGGGCATGGTGGTGCACGCCTATAATCCCAGAACTCTGGAGGCTGAGGCAGAAACATCTCTGTGAGTTCAAGGCCAGTGTGGGCTACATGGTAAGTTTGAGGTTAGCGTGGGCTACATAGTGAGACTGTCAAAAAAACAAACAAAAAACAAAAAAGTCCCTGACACAAGTGAATATATACCTTTAGTTGCCTATTTTAAAAATTTATTAAAGCACTTAATGTAGAGATTTAATCCCAGTGTCGAACTACTGCTGTGCTTCATGCAGGGGACATTGCCGTGTCTGGGCCCTGGGTCTGTAGCATCACAGAGGACCCCAGGGTGGCCCCTCCTCTACCTTCCCATAGCCATGCTCCTGGCAGGGATCCTTGAGGCACAGAGGGTATCATTTGAGCCACCCAGGACAGCCCAGTCTAGGACTGACATTAAGTTGGGACCCAGCTATCATGTTTTGTTTGCACATTTTCTCTTCCAGCTTGGTGAGGAGGATAAACAGGCTATTCCCTTGGGAGGCTGGTGTGCATTAGGGGTGAATGGGCCTTCGGAAGCTTTCTTAGTTGAGCATGTGCATTTTCCCGGGATCATCCTGTGTTGACTCTAGATCTTCTCCCTGCCCCTGATTCTAAACTTTCATCTGATCAAGTGCTGACCCCATGGGGAAGCTGGGAAGACAACTCTCATCTCCCCTCACCCTGTCCTCCTCTTCTCTTGGAGAGAAAGGCTGTACCAAGGGTTGTGGGAGGCAGGTGAATTTCAAGGCTCAGCCATGCTGGAACCGCCACAGATGAGGACTGTGTGTGTGTGTGTGTGTGTGTGTGTGTGTGTGCGCGCGCGCTCTAGGCAGATCTAGTATGCATGATGTCAGGAAATTGGCCTTGGTGAAGCTCTGAACAGACTCATGTGCCTTTTACTGAAACAAGGGGTGACAGGACCTCTTTTATTTCCCTTCCTGCCAGGATTTTTGTCTGGGCATATGATGTCATCATTCTAATCAATGCCATATTCATTGCTCTGGATGAGAAGCACCTCTTCATTTCCTACGCAGAGTGGCTTTTCCTCACTCTCTATATTATTGAGATCCTCCTGAAACTGTACACATATGAGCCCAGAGCCTATTTTGGAAGGAAGCAGTACTGGAACTGGTGAGTGGTGTCCTGGGGAGGAGCGAGGTGGCCAGGGGTCATGAGAGCGGACTTCCTGTCACAGTTGAGGGCACATGGCTACAGGCCTCCAAGCTTCATTTGGCTGGTTTTATGGCTCTTGTAATGAGATTTTGGGGACAGGGAACATCTGGTTCAGTGAAAGGTGTCATTCATGATGTAAGTTGAGACTGATTGTAGCTAAAATTAAAATCACAGACCATGGCATCTTTGACTTGGTAAGGCTCTTTAAAAAGAGGAAAATAAATCAGGGATGGTGGCCCACACCTATAATCCCAGCGCTCTGGGAAGTTGAGGCAAGAGAATCACAAGTTGGAGCCCAACCTGGGTAACTAAGTTACTTAGTGGAACCTGTCTCAAGATAAAAAATAAAAAAAGAGCTTGAGATGCAGCTCAGGACAAAGGCCCTGTGTTCAGCCTCCAGTAGCACAAACAAACTAAAACAAAAAATCAGGAAAGCTGGCAAGTGTGGTAGCACATACCAATAATCCCAGCTCTCTGGGAGGCTCAGGCAGAATGATCACATGTTTGAGCCTAGCCTGGATAGCTAAGTGAGACCCTGTCTCAAAATATTTTTTAAAAGAGCCTGGGAATGGAGCGCAGTGTGAAGGCCCTGGGTCCAATTCTCAATACAAAAACAAAAACAAACAAAAAAACCAACCCACCAACCAAACAAAAAACCCCAACAAATAAGACAAAACAAAAACCAACCCGGAAAAAAAGAAAAAAGAACAGCAAATCATTTTTCTCTACTCTTTCATGACATTTCTGACACTAAATGTGTGGGAGTTTTCCTCACATCAACTATCTAACTGGGTGTTCTACAATTTAATTCAATTCTTTTTATTATTCATTAAGTTTATTGGTACATTTTAGGTATACATTATGATCACATTCATCATTGGGAATTTGTACCTCGAAATGATATATCTTGGTTCTTATTTTTTCCCATTTCCCTTTCCTCCCTTCAACCCCTCCACTCATCCCTATTTACAAAAGTTTTGTTTCTATTTTTTCTTTCCTCCACCTCCCTCGTTAGTTCCCCTTTCTCTTTAAACATTTTTTTCCTACTTCACAAGATCTATTATACATTTTGGTCCTCATTTACACTTTCCACTCCTCACACTAGAGAAACAACTTGATATTTACACTTGTGTGTCCTATTTATTTCACTTAACAGTGTGGTCTCATGGTGCATCCATTTAACTATACATGTAGTCACTAGTATATCTTTCTTTATGGCTGAGTAGTATACTCCATTTTAATTTAAAAAAAGCCACACATCTTTATCCTATCACCAGTTGATGGGCATTTAGCCTGTTTCCAAAATTTATCTATTATAAACTATGCTGCTATAAACATGGATGTACGTATATCGTTGTGGTATGATGCTTTTAATTCTTTTGGGAAGATAGCAAGAAGGGAAGTAGCAGGGTCAAATGGAACCTCTACTTTTAGTTTTTTGAGGAATCTCTACCCTGATTTCCACAGCGGATGCACCAGTCTATACTCCCACCGACAATGAAGAAGGGATCCTTTTCCCCCACAGCCCCACCAGCATTTGTTATTGGTTAATTTTTTGATAGCAGCCATTCTTTCTGGAGTGAGGTGAAATCTCAGCATTGTTTTCATTTTCATCTCACGAGTGACCAAGTGATGTTGAACTTTTTTTGTATATTTATTTGCTGTTTCTACTTCTTTGCCTGAGAAATGTCTGTTCATTTCTGATGCTCATTTTTGGATTGGGCTTTAAATTTGAGAGATCTGATTTTTTTTGAGTTCTTTATATATTCTAGATAGCAGTCCTTTGAGGAACAGCTTGTAAATTTTTTTCCCGCAACATGGGTTGTCTCTTCACTCTGTTGGTGGTTTCTCTTGCTGTGCAAAAGCTTTTTATTAAGATGGGATCCCAATTGTTGATTCTTTGATAGTTACTTGCAATCAGACTGAGGTTTTGTTTATAAAATCTTTTCCTACATTAATGTCTTCAAGAGTTCTACCTAACCTATCTTCCAGCAACTTTAGTGTTTCTGTTTTAATATGTAGATCTTAGATCCATTTTTGATTTTAGTTTAGTGCATGGTGAAAGATATCGGTCTAGTTTTAATCTTCAGCAACTTAAAACCCAGTTTTTTCAGCACCATTTATTAAGGAGGCTATCTTTCCTCCAGTGAGGGTATTTGGCTCCTTTGTCAAAGATGAAGTGGCTCAGTATGTCTGGAGTTGTTTCTGCATCTTCTAATCTGTCTCATTGATCCTCATGTCTGGTTTTTTTCCCAGTACCATGCTGTTTTAATATAGAAGCCTTGTAGTATAGTTTCACATTGAGGATTGTGATACCCCATCCTTGCCTTTGTTGCCTAGAATTGCCTTTGCTATTCTAGGTCTCTTCTGGTTCTAAATGTCAATTCTATTACATTCTGACACTATCTACCCAGAGTTAGTGTCAAAATTACTAGGATTTTAGGAGTTCTGGCTAGGAACTCCTAGCCAAAGATGAAGACCAAAGATGTATTTCACTTGCCACAATCTTAGAACAGTCGACTAAAGGAAGCAATTCCTTCTTTCCATAGCTTCCTCTGCTCCTCCGTCTCTCCTGGTCAGAAACCTCTCTGACACAAAGGTACCAGTCCCAGGCATTACGTTTTCCACAGCTCATGAGGGCTGGATCTCTGGGATCACTGCTCTAAGAGCCAGGAAACTTGTTACAAAGCACATGTGGCCAGAGGGGATCTGTCCACTATTTTCTTGTTCTTTGGCACCATTGTTAGAGTGAAAAGTCATAACATAATAATTTCTTCTACAATTAAAAAGTTATAATGCATTCAATAAAATTAGTACCAACAATATATTCTGAAAATGGATCAAATATTCTTTCAAGTGCAGACTTACTGTAGAAGACAAAGTGGTATGAATTAGCTGATTCCTACAAATTCCTTCAAATGATACTTTGGAACATCCAGTGGGTGAAAATTGGGTGGTCCAAAGATAATGTTTTTTTCTTCATAGTCACTGTCCAAAAAATTTCAGAAATCAGATTTTGGCTGGATCATTGCTTTGCATAAGATACTAGATAGAAAGTTTTCCTGGAGCCCATCATATCCTGAGCTTGAGAGGCCTTTCCTAGATTCTTAACCAACTTTGCCTTTGCTCTGTTAGGTTTGATGCACTGATTATCTTCGCAGCTCTGGTGGCCACCACAGCCAGTGCCGCCATCCAGTCAGGTCAGTGCCATCTGCCAGGATGGGGTATCTGATCAGTAGTCTTGTTGAACATCCACTGTGAACCATTTAGAGACCAAGGAATGAGGCCATCAGGGAATTATCAGTAAAGTTCCAAGCTCTTGAAAAGGATGGAGGATTTGTTTGTGTTTAGCTCTGTGATATTTTAGAGATTTCATTTGTAGGAGGGCACCACCCAAATACTCACCTGGCCATGTCTCCAAAACTGGGCCTCTGTCTCAGGGCTGACCTTCTGCCTGCATTGGCATCCCACCATGTTCCAGCCATAGTAGCACTTTTGTATCCTCTCTGCCCACCACCCTCTTGTCCCTACCCTCCTGTGGCTCTGTGCACCCTCAAACCCATACCTACTCTTCCTGTTGACAGCAGACAGGATTAGTGGACATGGCGTAGCTGCTGAACATTGTGAGTTGAATTCTGGGGAAAGAAAGGCTTGTTGCAGTGTATTCTGTACAAACAGATCCATAGTCATTTCTCAAGGATGAAGTCCACACTTGCACACATGGTTCTTTAGCTCAGGGGGCTGGGTGGAGCGAAGGTATTGCTTCTGCACTGCCTTCCTGGGCTTTGACTTGCAGAGGTAGTTTGGGATTTAAGACAGCGCCTACTTCCTCATAGCTCAGAGATATTATCCTGTTATTTTATTTTAATTTGGAGATCCAACCAAACCGGGGCCTTGTGCATGCTAAGCATGTGCTCTACCACTGAGCTACACCCCAGCCCTCATTGTCCTGTCTTGAAACGAAGCTTCATGGTTCCCCATGATCCAGAAGGTCTCAGCTCTCATTGAATAAATGCGGCAAATCAGAAATCCTGAGAAAATGCAGTATTAAAGGATTATGTTCTTTCTCTAGCAAGAAAATACAACAGTCGGCAGATCCTGGATATTGTCTTGATATTGAGGATACTCCGGCTTCTAAGGGTCATCATCACCATTGAGAGGTACAGGTGAAATGTGGTGCAATGGCTGTACTTGGAGTGGAGCTCCCTGCACTGGCCTTAACTGAACCCAGAATGTAGTTCATATGGAGGACTGGAGTTCTCTGGGGGCAACATGGGAGGGGAGAGAAGCCAGGGTAGATGGGTAAAGAGTACTAAGATGTCAACTCCTCAAGGGTGTCAGTGGTCACTTTTGACCCTGTGACAGGCCCTGAACTGTGCCTGGTGACTGCACAAGATGGTGGCTTTTGTTAACTCCAGTGTGCTACCTGTTCTCTTATCAAATCCCACCAGCAACCTTTGATATGGGGACTTTCATATCCCTAGTTTATAGGTGAAGATACTGAAGCTTGAAGATATTAAGTCCCTCCTTCAGCAGTGCCCAGCTAGAAAGAGTGAGAAATGGTGCATACCCAGGAGTTTGACCCAGAATCCTGAATGAACCCCAGCCTTGATCTTGATAGTTCAGCTTTCTTCCTGCATCTGGAGGCTGGCTTGTTCCCCTAGAAAGTATTCAGTTGTCATCCATTACAGCCTGAAGTCAGGCTTGATTCTGATGGAGGAAAAAGGTGAAGAAAAGTGGAGGCAACTAAGTGACTCTCCAGCCTCAACATGCATCTCACTAGTGCAGTTTTCTGTAATTCCCTTTCTAATGCTTGTCCAGCCTGCCTTGCTTCATTTCAGGGGAAACAGCTAGTTCATCGTCAGTCAGCTTGGGGGTTGGGGACTAACTTTGACAAACACTCAGGCCAACTCCTGCCAACATCTAAGCCCAGATGCAGGATTGGGGAGGGGAAACTAAACCCTCCATGCTATTAGAGTTGGAAGTTTGGCTCCTTGCCTTCCCTTCTGCCTTTTGTCAGAAACTGTTTTAACCTAGGTTCCGGGTGATAGTGACCACTTTGATTAACATCGGCCCCACGATGCTGACGTTTGGAGGGCTTGTCTTTGTAAGTAGCTGCTCTCCTTTGCTACTTGATGTGAAATCAGTAGTGAAGGGCTTATTCCTAGCAATTCTTGTAAGCCTTCTTTTCTTTTCTTATATATCTTTTTAAACACAAAAAAGAATGCCCAAAATGTATTATATACCTATGGCATGGGCATATTAGACTCCAGTAAGCTTTATTTAAAAATAGGCCAGGGTGGCGGGGAAGTCAGGGGCAGTCCAGAGGGCTGTGCCCTCTGGCACTGTATGGGTGCATAGGATTTTCTGAAGCACTGACACCTTCCTACCTTCTTTCTGAAGCTGCTTGGAACTCTTGGCTGGTGTTAGTGACCATTCCTGGGAATATGGTGGTGGCTTCTGCTGAACCCTGGGAACCCCGGAGGTGGCTGTCTGGAGGGAGCTCTTGTGTGCACCCTCCTTGTCTTGTGCTTTGGGCGCCCCCTGGTGCCTGACTGGGTGCCTCCCATCCTAGGTGGTCTACTACACATTTGCTGTCATTGGAATGGAAATCTTCTATGGCAAAGTCCAGTTCTTTGACCCAAATTTCACATCTCCTGATGCACTGGTATGTGGAAACCCGGCCCTAAAAGGGTCAGCATTTGCTCGAGACAGGTACTGCAAGAACAACTTCAACGACCTGGCCTCATCCTTCATTGTGCTGATGGAGCTCACCGTGGTGAACCAGTGGCATGATATCCTTCTGGGGAGGGGACTGACAGGGTTCTGCTGCTCCCTGGAGTGGCCTGGTGCCTGCTGGAAGTCACTTTTGGGAGGAGGAGGATGCCTTCCCAACTTGCTGAGTTTCTCAAAGGTCTAGTTCCTTAGCCTCCCAATTCTTGCAGGTGGCTTTGCCCTCGTGACTCACCAGGCGGCAAAGCTGTACTTCATCTTGTTCCACATTGTGGTCGTCATCCTCATTGTTAAGTGAGTGACCTCCTGCCCCCTGGGAAATCTGGGTTCTTTTTCAGAATGGCTGACCATTGGCACTTCTGATCTCCTTTGTTCTACCCTCAGGTAGGCTGTGTGTGTGTGAGCCTCCTTGCCCCCCTGAAGGCTGAGCCATGGAGGGGAGGGGTCTCATTTGTGTTCCTCTAGGTGTCCACAAGTGTCTTGCACGGCAGTGTGTAATGCACATCTCAGGGCCTCGCAAGTTATTTGGGTCAGAAGGAACACAGGTCCTGGGTGATCTTCCTGCCCTTTCCCCTGGGCCTGAATCACTTCTAACACGTTGGCTATGCCACATCTGCTTCAGTTCATCCAACTACTGGGGCCCATTGGAACCCAAGAGAGTTAGTACCCTTATTTTTTGCACTGATCCATGGGTAGAATGGAAACTGTTCTTTTTGGGATTCTAAGAGGATGGGAACATATCCCTGATGAGTCTACTAGGATGGGAATGTGTCCCTTGGTGGGTCCTGGTAAGGTGAGGACATTCCCAGTGGTGGGTCCTACTGGAATGGGAATGTACCCTGGGCAGGTAAATTCTAGCTAGTAGGCTAGAAATGTGCTGAGTGGATCTGGGTGAGACAGAGACCTGCTTCCTGGTAGATTCTCTGCATTGGTTCCAGTTTGTTCTTGCCCTTTTCCATGGAGGCTCCATATTTGAAAGCTTCCATGATATCACATCCCTCAAAAACACCATCCTTCCAGTTGGAATCTTTGACTCTAGCTCTTTGGTCCCTTGTGTGATCTGCACTGACTTAAGTCCCTGTGACCACAATGATTCTCCCCCATAGGGTTTCTGGTGGTCCATGCCCTCTCAGAGCCCAGAGCCTGGGTTTCTGGATGGTGAAAGCCCAGCCCAGTACCTTCCTAGTCACATTGGTCCTGGTTTGTCACCCACTGTCTGTGACTGTGGTCCAAAAATCCCTCAGGGAATGTCCTGGCAGAGGGTGGGGCCAGCAGAACCCAAACAGAATACAGAGAGGAGGAGGGGGAGAGCTGCCCTGATAGGCTTGGAGAAAGGATACCGAGCACTGGCTTAGAAAGAGGGCAGTAACATAAATAGGCTGTGGGGATTCTTCTCCTCTCTGCTGAGGAGCCCATGAGCACCATGCAGCTGTGGGCTGCATCATCATTATCATCAAGCCAGAGATGATGAAGGGTCCAAGAGTTCATCCACTGCCTTGGGTCAGAGGCAGAGACTGTTATTCATGGATGGAGCCACAGACCCCAAGGCAGTGAGACCAGTACCAGATGGAGCAGGTAACCAGGAAGAAGGCAGCTCTAATAATACAGGGGAACTAGTGCCCTGTGCTTCCTCTGGGAGAGGGTAGTGGGTATTTCTACCCTGGATGGTAAGAGTCTACTATTGGAAGGGAAAGGCTAGAGCTCTACTTTTGCCTTTCTGAGTCATCCTGGGGAGTCCCTGCCTTTTATTCTTACTTTTTCTCAGTATTTTCATCGCATTCATCTTGGAGGCATTCTTCGTGGCATATTCATTAGGAAAGAGTGAGATAGAAACTGCAATAGAGAAGAAGATTCAAGAGCTTGGAGTGGGAATCCAAGAGTGAGTAGCCTGTTTCCTTTGGTGACTCTTAGACTTTTAAGTGGGACAAACAGAATATCCTGACCATGTTTAACCTATCAGTGCTGCATGGCACCCGATCTGGTCCTGTGTGTCTGGTCAGTGACCACTGGGCAGTACTGGAAGGCCATGCGAGGGCTTTGCCTGAAGTCCTGACCATGTTCCTGTCTCTTTTCCTGCTTGAAGAGAAGATGTACATGACTGGAAGCTTGCTGGTAACATGGGCACAGTGGACAGCACCTTTAGTGTGAATGATGATGACAGTAGAAGGAAAGCATTGAAAGGACTGTACTTCAGAATTGCATCAAAAAGTAAGTGGCAATAGGATGCAAAGCTGGATCCAGTCATGGGTGGTTTCCCATTGCTCAAGGGTAAGGAACAGGTTCCCCATGCCTGTATGCAGAATTTCTGCCCATCCTCTTTCCTGCCCAGCCTCTGCTCCTCCCATTGACCTTTCAGCTCCTGGTTCCCTGCTCCATCCTGCCACACTGCTATGAACCTTTGCAAATGCTGCTTCCTTCCTCCGCTCACCCAGGCAGCCCTTTTCAGAGACCCCCCACCAGGCTTTCCAAGAAGGCCAGGCACTCTGTGAGTCCCCTGCTCTGCTTTCCCAATAGGGGCATCTTCATTGCTCAGTGACTACTTTGGTCCCAGTTTTTCCTCCTTGCTGATGTGAAAGTGTATATGTGCAGGGCCATGCATGGCTTTTTTGTTCTCCAAGGTATCTCCAGGGTCTAATGATGTACCTGGGACATAGGATTCTTTAACAAGTCTTTGTTTCATGACCTCACTAATTCTCAGTGAATTATCTTCCTGGTAGCTTCCTGGTAAACCCGAACCAGCCTGCTTTTGGTTTGGGCTCAGTCTGAGGAATGTAGTGCAGATCACAGGAGGAGAGGTATGAGCCCCAGCTTCCCTCGAAGAAGGCCTCTTCGTCTTCAGGGCTGTGAGTGGCTGGGGCTCCATGTAAGATGAATAATCAGCAAGGATGAATATTCCATCTCTTTATCTATGCATCCTTCCCCTCAAACACTGGTTATAGTGCTAGATGCCTAGTCTTCAACTCAGGGTCACCCTTCAGGAGAGCCTTGGTTTGCCAGGCTGAGGGCTCCCCTAACCCCCATACCAACAAATCCAGTGTGTCCCTTTCTCCTTTATCCCAGAATACCGAACTGTGGATGCTTTGCTGCAGCGGATGTTTGAGTCTGAAATTTCTCCCAGTGATGAAGGCCCTTCTTTGGAAGAGATTCTGAACTTCTCACCCAGTGACATATATCCCAAGAATCCCAATTTTGAAAACAGTGCATGATGCTGAAGTTGCATGAGTCCACAACTGGAAACCAAGGAAAGCTGCATCTTTTATTGCATATGCTAGCTGGAGATGACTTTTCTAGTGTTTGCTTCTTTTATGATCAGATAAGCCTGTTAATTGGCTTTGCTTGTCCTGAGTGGTCAGCTGCATGGCATGGGAAGGCCAGTACCATGTGCCTTGCCTAGGGGTTACTCTTAGGTCTGGTCCTGAGGGTCCACAACTGGAAACCAAGATAAGGTGTCATTTTTTTCTACATGTGCTAGCTGGAGATGACTTTCCCAGCCTGTGCTTTGTTTTGTGATCAGCTAAGTCTGTGAATCAGCCTTACCTGTCCCAAGTGGGCAGCTGCACAGGATAAGAATGCCACTGCTGTGGGCCTTACCTGGAAGTTGGCCATTCTTAGGTCTCATCACAGAAGGAAGGATGAGCAAGTTGATGAAGAGATTATGCTGAGCATTTGTCCTGCATGTGTGAAGACTTTCCAGTGGGTATACATGAGCTTTTCATTAATATTTCTATGATATTTTGCCATTCTGTTAAACTTGTACTGTGCTACAGTGTTACATGAATGATGGATATTTGAAAAATGACAAAAGCTTATCTTCTGGTACAGTATCTTTTAAATGCAGTGATTTTCAAAATGAAGAAAAATGTGAATATGAAAATATAATTTTCACAGTTGCTTCTTTTTGGAGGGGGCAGCAGTGTACTCTAAAGGCTTCTTTAATTAAATTATACTCAAGCATGGTTTGGAGTAAGTTGCTCCCTAAGGACACTTTCCAGCTGGGAATCTCTCAGTACAGTGATTTGCTGCTTCTTGGAACTTTAAAGGATTTATTTATTAACTTTTTAAAAATTGCAATAAAATGTATATAACATGAAAGTTTCCATCTTCAGTTTCTCCATGTGGAGTACAGTAGTGGTAAGTACACTTATTAGTCACCTTTCTGTTATTATGACAAAACACCTGAGATAAGTGGCTTAGCTCTGTTGCTTTGGGCCTGTGCAGAGGCATCGCATCATGGGAGGAGCGTGCAGCAGAACAAGCTGCTAACTTCATGACAATTAGGAAGTAAAGAGAGAGATGGGAGAGGGCTGTGTCCCAGTGTCCCCTTCCAGGGCATGCCTGCAGTGACCTAACTTCCTTCCATTAGGCTCCACCCTGAAGGGTTTTACTACATCCTAATGGTGCCCCAGGCTGGAGACCAAGCCTTCTCATGGGCCTTTGGGGGACACTCATTCGAACCATAGCATGCATTCACACTGTTGTGCATTTGCCCCACCTTCCAGCTTCACAGCTTTTTCATCTTGCAAAGTAGAAACTCTGCACCTGTTAAACAACTACTTTCATTCCCACCACTGCACATTCTGTCTATGACTTTGACACCTCTGCACAGCAGGTCCATTTCGAGCAGAGTACATACCCAGCGTCCTCTGGGCGTCCCCTCATTTGCCTTGTCACAGGCCTCATTCTAAGGCAGGGGAGGGGTGGGGACCCCTATGACCTGAGTGTAGCAAGACCTGAGTGGTGTGCTGTGCCATGTGTCATGTGTCCACTGAAGCAGGCTCATAGGAACTTCTTTCCTTCAGTTCTGAGGGGCCTTCTGGGCCTTGTGTTGCAGAAGCAAAAAAAAAAAAAAAAAAAAAAAAAAA